TAGTATTACTAAAAACTAAATACGTTGCATATTTTGTATTATCTAATTAATAAATACTGAAAAACCTAATAGCAAATTTATATATAGTTATATATTTTTTATATATATTTGGAGTAATCACAAAATAACAACCAACGTAAAGCAAAAGTCGGAAAGCTTTTGTTTACCTAATTTGTAAACTTTTATTTCTAGCGCATAGATTTAAATACCATGTTTTCTATTAATTACTATAATTTTATTATTATTTTCATTCTATTACATATATCAATTTATTAATAAATAAATTATAATAAATTTCAAAGGTTAATATGTTCAAACTGAACAAAATGATAAATAATCGAAAATAATTTTCGCTCATAAGTCCAGTTGATGGGCACATGATGATGTTGTACCAGACCATTCCTATCCTCAAGTAATCATAAAGTATTTTTGTTCGTTTTTTTAAATTTTTTATTACTTTTAATGTAAACATCTAATTTATTAGCTATCTAGTTGATTAATTAATGAGATTGCTCGTAATACTATCCTGACGGCTCTCAAGACCAACACTTCTGCACCACTCTAAAGCCTTGCGGGTTTAGTATACTAGGTTTTCCATTTAGACGCCCCAAATCGCAAACATTATCGTCTGGAGATAAGCGCAAAAATTCAGTTTTGCAGGGGACATTCTGGTAGCAAGAGTCGAATCGAGATTTCTTCAAAAAAGTTTTATCTTAAAGTGAAGCTACTTTAAATAGTGATGTATCATTGTCGCCCCAAAGCCATAACTTATCAATTTTTACTTATTTTACCAGCATTTATAAATTCTTAATTTATAAAAAATTGTTTTCGATGATTTGATTTAAAGGTTGCCCATTAAGTTCACATTGTTATTTTCAAAGTAGTTAGGACAGATTATTTAATCGTTTAACTTTACATACATTTACTGACCAAATACTACTACGAAAAAGTGTTAATAGGTAAAAACAATATCCATGCATACAACATCAATTACCCACTTTTCGATCATTTTTGAAAAATAAATTATTTAATGAGTTTGATTTCATATTTGCAAACATTATCACATGTGATGGCCAAATGCATTAGTCATATAAGACAAAAACCAAATTTTCTTAAAGGGCGGGCCTTTCTTTGAATTTTACTGTAAACAATTTATAAGCGTGAACAGAAACTTTACTAAGGGCGTTTTGTTGTACTTGTCTATTTGAAGAGATATTTCTGATTAAAATTCTTTATGTCTATTTGGTTGTCTATATGTTTTATAATTTCAGAATACACTAAAGTGTTTTATTATTTGATAGTTCGTTTGCAATATTTTATATTTTTCCTTCAGTTTTTTTATTTTTCAATCCAAGAAACTATAAAATTTTGTATATGTTGTCCCAATTTTGAACATTTTGTAAAAATAATTTTTTTTATTTGGTATTCCCAAATATTTAGTAGCGGTTTTGAGTTATTTATATAGCTTTATGTTTCCTAGTTCAGCGTTTATTAGATAGATTTTTTTTGTACGTACATTTTCTTGTCATCAAACTATCTGTATATTTGTGCAGCTATTTCACTTCAACTACCATTCAACATTATTATATTTATATGTTTTTATCCTAATAAATATACCAGATGTCAAAAACATTTTATTTTACAGTGACCGTCTTTATTATTTTGTGATTTTTATCAAACCATTTCAGCATTTTCCAAATAGCAATGAAAAAAAAAATAAATGAAAAATTTCCTTCTATGATTTATTAATTAGATCCCGCTATAATGGGATTTTTTACATATATTTTTTTAAACCTTCTATCAGTTTCACTTGTTGTATTTTACATTATTATTTGATTAAAACGCAACTTAGTTTTCAGACCGCGTGTTAGCGTGGGAAACTTTTTCAATTTTATGGATGGCTGGGAAGAGGCAGTGGTACGTCGCTTGAAATATTGCTCTTACGTAGAGCCTGAAACTACTTTTGAATAGTGAACACAACTCAAGTGTATTGAATACTTTTCCGTCGAGTCTGCAGAGTTTTCTATAGATAAATCTACGCGTTATTTTATTTTTACTTTTTTTTGCTATCAGACGACAATTTATTCGAATGCGATATTTAAAAACAAAATGTAAATTCCATAAAAAACGTGCTTAGAATTTATGAAGACAATGCGTAACATTTATGTAACTGATTCAAATACGGTGAAAGTGACAGGATCGAGGAGAAATACCATGGTATTTAATGCAAAGCAGCTTGTCTTTTTATAAGCATATCAATTGTTTTATGAAAACAATAATCGATTTAAGTGGCAAAAGCAGGTGGTAAGAAATTCCATGAAAAAGCGAGTTGTTTCGGCGTTTATATATTTATTAAGTTTTTTTAAATGTTTAGAAATTAGGTCAAATCAGGTCGACAATTACAAACGGGAGAGCCTAATGTAAACGACGAATCGATTAGCAATAATTGATTTACAAAATCCGTCTCTGCCTATTCGATGACCCTCAAATAGGTCCATCGGCGGGCAAAAAATTAAAACGTCCGATCCAATTATAAGCTCTTTTTTTTCTTCGCCGAGTCAATCGGTGGCCAATTAAATGATCTTACAGACCAATAAAACCGGGCCATCTGCTGCCAGTTGCCCAACAGTCGATAAATTACACTTTTAAAAAAGTAGGGGCGAAAACCTTCGGAAAACAATAAATGCAAATGAAGGGTGATTTATCACCGGGCTTAATGGATGTATGTGTAATATAGGAAAACATGGATGGGCACATTTCACCCCCCCCCCCCATCAAACTACACGTTAAAGCACTATAAATGTGCATAACGAAAAATGGTATAAAATAATACCTTATAACATGGGTACAAAAGAGACAATATAAAAATACTCATAAAAAATAACAAAATAATGTGACTTAGCTATAAAATTATAGAACTAACAACTTTTTTCAGAATTATTTGCCCAAATAAATAAACTTTATAATTCAACGAGATGCTACTATTTGTTTAGATTATATTACTGTGCTCAATATACAATAGTATTTCAATAACTGTTCAATAAATAAATAACTGTGATAAATATTTCAATGTTTTCAAATTTTCTGTAAAAATAAACACGTAGTGAGGATTAGACGCTTTTAGGATGGGCTTTGGTTCACGTTTTACAATAAATAAATTTTGATTCGATCATTTTCAATTCATTAAGGTATAACTTGCTTCGTGTTGGTATATTAAATATTGAAACAAACAAAGTAGCACGCGCACCGGCAACCGAAGATGACGAAAATACCGGGGTCAGAAAAATCCGACAATAAATAGTTGAAATTAAATTGTATAAATTACTGCTAAATTACCGATATTTCCTAAAATTATGACTTTTATATTTGATTTTTTTTCTTTAGGAAATCTACCAAACGTAATATTTGGGTAATTTTTAGTGGTGGCGTAAACAAAGAAACGTGATTTTTACAATTTTTTCCGTGAGTAAAAAACTTCATTACACGCTGCTATTTCCCCATAAAACTTGCTATTTTATACTTCTCACAAAGGCACCTTTCAATTAACGACTGTACGACAATTGACAGAATCAATAGATAATGGGTGAATTCCTTTTGCCATTTTTATGGATTTAATTATGTGTGATATGACTGACTGGACGATAACTAAACTTAATCATTTAACGTTAGAGATTTTCAATTCAAAATGAATGGGGGTTGTATTTTGAAATATCATTAATTTGATGTGATGAAAATATAAAAGCTCAGTGATATAAGAAGCGATCTACCTTTAATAAAATGTTATATTTTGAATAAAAAGTCAATAATATCGCGAAACTTGATAGACAACCTTACTTGAAGCAATATTACATAAACTCGATAAACGTCCTGTTAAAAAAATATAATCTAATAAAGTAAAAATAGAAATAGAACAATAATAATAACAAAAATAATAATTTGGAATGGCAGAGAGAGAGAGAGAGAGAGAGAGAGAGAGAGAGAGAGAGAGAGAGAGAGCAAGTTACAAGGTGAGTAGAAGGAGAGCGAGCAAGTTACAGGGTGAGTGGAGGGAGAGAGATAGATACATAGATAGATAGCTAGATAGGTAGATAGATAGATAGATAGATAGATAGATAGAGAGATAGAGAGAGAGAGAGAGACAGAGACAGAGAGAGAGCGAATTACAGGGTGAGAGGAGGAAGAGAGAGAGACATGTGGTTAATGTAAATATTTTCAATCTCCCCTTGAAATCATTACGAACTAATAATATTTAAAACATGCGTTTTTATCAACTAATACAGAAATTAAACTCTTTTAAAATTAATTTGATGAGAAAAACTTGTGATGGTTAATTTTGTATGTAAAGTTTAACTAGTTTGTTCTTCTTTATTTGAAACACTATTTTTATATAACGTTCGACCATGTCCATGAGCGGATATTTTATTAAATTTATTTGCCGGAGTAAGCATCGGCCGTTTTGCCCCTAGGCATGTGTAATAAAACGGGGAAATGTTTGGTGGGGAGATTTCGCTTTGGGGCCCCCTTGAGATATAGCGTCCACTTTACTTTTAGTGTCTATAGCCGGCTCATTACAGAAAACCTCTAATGTAAGACATAACTCTCTTATTTTGCCCCGAGGGGTCTGTAAACCTTAGTGGCCATCGTTGGTTGCCGTGTGATATCACGTCTATTTATCAAATCGACGCTTTCCCTAAGTAAATCGGCGGAACGGGAGGATACACGGACCCCCTGGCAAGAGGCCGGGCTAAGTTTTTTTTTTGGTATACGAAGGATCTTTACCGCTTTTTCTCTAAATCCAAAAAATGTATTTTTTTATTAAAATTATTTTAACATCATTTTTATCAATAATAATGCAGAATACTGCGACAGAGGAAATAAATGATCGCATAGTTTCGAAGTTTTTTGGGACTTTTCCAACAGGCCGCCGTAGAACAACTATGATAGATACTTAACACTTGGTGGTATAATTTTTAGAATTAATTTGGCTTCCAGCCACTTACCAAGAGATTGCTGGTCGATTCTCGTCCCGTTGATCGCATCTCGCCTCCTATTGCCCTTGCTTATTAGCGCAACATCGTCTGCAAACAGAAAGACAATATCTTTCAGCTAAAAATGTGATTCTGACCAGAGGCACGACCTCCCGGTGAAACTCGATCTTCATCTTATAGCGACCGTCCGAACTGTATAATCAAAACGGAGTTCGGATTCCGTAAGAAATTTTTCGAGATGTGGATGCGTTTTGTTCCCGGCGGAAGTGAGGAAGTATGCCGTAATTTGGTTTGTCAGACTGCTGTCCTGGATTTCATTTGATGTGAGCACTCTGGCCAACTTACTCAACGACAATTCCACACGGTTTCCGTCGGCCGTGTTTACTTACCACATCAATGGAAAAAATTCTAATTGTATTCGCCGTTTTACACAAATAACCCTGCTTTTATTAAAGAGAAGCTGATAACTTTAACAATAAACTGCATATAAAACAATAATAGTTTTTTTACTAAATAATCCACGTGTTACATTATCATGTAATAGAATAGCTTCATTGCTTGTATATTTATTTGTTCATGGTATTCTTCACACAAACACCCACCCTCTACACACACACACACACACACACACACACACACACACACACACACACACACACGCACACGCACACTCACACTCACACACACACACAAAATTACAATAGCTTTGAACTTCAAATTTTGAAAGACACAGTTCAGCAGGCTACGGTTCGCTTAAAAATTGGGGGAGCTCGAAAAAGGCAGTTTGGGAGAGGTAGTTGGCTCGTGTGGTTCTCCTTTCTCATTTTCTTTGAAGTGAAGGATTGTGTGGGATTAATGGTTCTTGATGTGAGCGTCTGGGAGTCAATAGGTAGGACAATTTGTACTATTTAATTGTTAATAGCGAAAACTTTGGGGCTGAAATGACCCAGATGTCGGAAGCCCCAATAAAAAAANTCTCTCTCTCTCTCTCTCTCTCTCTCTCTCTCTCTCTCTCTCTATCTCTATCTCTATCTATCTATCTATCTATCTACCTTTTGCTTACAGACACAGAGAGATAGAGAAAGAGAGCGAGAGAGAGAGAGAGAGTGAGTGCGAGAGGGTGAGAGAGAAAACCGTTAAGTACCAGTAAAGGGCAATTCTTCCATGTCTAGCATTTTTTGCCCCAGCATTGTCTAAAGCATCCTCAAAGAGAAAAGAAGCATAAACTTCGTGCAGCACATCCCGAGGTGATATTGCAAATAGCAAAAGGCTTTAGGATTATCTCTTTACCAGGCCGATTGTATCCGGGCAGATGATATTCCAATAGAACTTTATTTAAAAGAGCTCGCAGAAAAATGACCATTAAAAGCATTCAAACCCGAAACGGACATCCCTTAGAGACAAAAGATTTAGTTCATAAGTGGCCACGTCCTTTACAAACAACGAACCACGTGCAGTTAAAAACATATTGGTTCATAATAACACCTTCAATGATCGTAGAAAGATCAATGAAAAAGTAGGATATGAAGTAGTCATATTTAAGGAAGGAAATACTGAGGAAGTCCACAAAAAATATAGGCTTAGCTCAAACTCCTGTAATTATCAGGCAGAGAAGTTGGCAACATAACAATCAGTAAGATAGATTGATGTTGATGATGATACTAGGAAGTGGTTTATTTTTGTTCTCCAAACACTGTATCTCTCTGGCTTATTTTCCTGAATCTTCAGTTCAGTGCAATCCACTCGATCCTCTTCATAAGAAAGCCATTGACAGTCGTTATAGGTTAATAAACACCCTGCTACTACAGAACAAAGTATAAGAGTTATAATATGGACGGATAGTGATCTATAGTAATCTTTCGCCCAAATGGGCAAATATAAAGTTTATGTAATTGGTGGTTAGATTAGTTAAACACGTGGAAACAATAACAACCATTTAGTTTTTTTACATCGTACACATGAAAAATATTTATGTTGTAATTTACTTTATTTAATTTTAATAATTTTTAATTGTTGATTTTTAGTTATATAAAGAATAAAAAACAACTTAAGGAAGAAAGTAGAGATAAACCACAATTTAATTCTTGTAACTGTTTGATTTCATAGTTTATAATTAAACATCAGTACTATCAAGCATAAATTTGCTTCATATTTAATGAAAATGGAAAAAATATAATGCAGTAAACTTATGCCAGACTGTGTTTTCACTCCTGAGGAAAAGTATTTTAATATCATTACATTATCATTGCACACTTTAAGCCTGAAATAGTTTGGAAAAACCTTTTCTTACAGGCCTATCCAAATTCACATAGAGTTATTTTAATTATATTATTTTTAACTGAAAACATATGAGCGAAATCTTAAAATATCAAAATAAGTGATAAAGATAAGAAATGGAAGTGTTTATTCGTATGTATTATGAAAAAGATATGAAGCTCTATTCGATGTTCTGAATAATGCAATGTTGCTTTTAGAATTTTTTATTAGAGTTTGATGTTTTCGATTTTGTCAAAACTTGAATTCAAAATATCTGAAAATCTGCTTTTTGCGTGTCAACTGTCGTGCAATGGAGCGTGAGATGAGCGAGTGGTAAATTTTTACATTTTGCCGACTGGGGCGAAGAGAGGTTAGACGGAAATATTATTCGTATTTTTCCCCCCAGGGGAGCGAAGTGGTTAAATTCTTAAAATGGACTGATTCGCCGGGAGGTGGGCTCGCCAATTTCTGAGATACTCCGGAACAAATCGTGCGGGCCTTGACTTTTTCAATAGGAAATATTTATTTTCCACATTAGGGCCCCGTGGCCTGTTACGGAATGGGCGTTTATCAATTCAGAGCTTTGAAGAGGAAAATATTTTCCATTTATCCGCGGAAGTGAGTGGATCCGTGGAATCTAAGAATGTAATGAACTCGAACATTTTCAACTTTCATGAATGGTTCATTTCCCCCATACGCTCCATATTCGAAAATGTTATCATAATAAAATTCTTGAATCTACTTTACTTAGTTCAATCAGCACAGTGAATGATAAAAGCTCAGCACAAAGCTATATGAACAAAATGATAATAATAAATAGGCAATACTAAATCTAATCAATAAATATTTCAAATAAAAGTCTTTATTTAAACATTCAGAATTTATTAAAATATCTATTTAAATTAAAAAGGAGAGTGTTTAAAAACCATCAAATAGTATGTTTCTTATTTAAGGAACACATTGATGTCAAATTAAAATTGGGTCCTATCTACTTGCTTTACTCTCCTTATACCATTTTCGTTTATCTGGCGCAATTCGAATTTTCTCTCTTTTCAGTAGTTTGTCTGTGTACTTTTTTGGCATTCGTATCGGTTTGCAATGTATCCTAACAAATACAATGTTATGAATTGTTAAAAAACACCAAAGCTAAACCAAGTCGACAATAGACTGTAATCTCACAAATTTCAGGAAATTTACGTGCGTTAGAACGAAGTAGAATGGGGAAAAGTAGTAATTAAAATAAGTTACAAACCTAGTTTATCAAATTTGAAAATAGTAAACACTAATAGTATTCCAATTTATTATTCTTTTCATCTCAACCAAAAACCTTACATGCAAAGAAAATTAATATGGTCGATAAATTAACTAATTTCGTGGTCCGCTTGACCAATTAATATATTACAATTAATTAAGGTTGTTAGTTGAGATAAAAAAGTCAATGGCACGAGCGGGATTCGAACCCACGATCTTCGGCTTGATACGCCACTGCTCTACCTCTTGAGCTATCGTGACCTCGATCCGCTCGGACAGTAACTTCCCATTTCAACCCCACCTTTTGAATTTTCCCTCCTTTTTGCCATTTTTCAGATGTCGTGTAATCGGATTGGATTCTCGACGACAATTGAAATGGCCACGGAGAGCTTTATTGAACTCTACTTCATTTTTAATCACCAAATTCACTAATTTCGTGGTCCGCTTGACCAATTAATATATTACAATTGATTAAGGTTTTTAGTTGAGATAAAAAAGTCAATGGCACGAGCGGGATTCGAACCCACGGTCTTCTGCTAGATACGCCGCTGCTCTACCAATGGAGCTATCGTGACCTCGATCCACTCGGACACTCAACCCCACTAAATGGGAGTTAGTGTCCGAGTGGATCGAGGTCACGATAGCTCCATTGGTAGAGCAGCGGCGTATCTAGCAGAAGACCGTGGGTTCGAATCCCGCTCGTGCCATTGACTTTTTTATCTCAACTAAAAACCTTAATCAATTGTAATATGTTCAATACATCCACTAAATAAATATGGACTAATTGTATTCTTTTACTTTATGCTTCTACCGTTTAAATTGTTTGAAAATTATATTGATAAAAGCAAATGATTTTTTTTCTCTAATAAGACATATAAAACTTGCCTGACAATAGCATACATGAACTGAAATGTTGAATTGTTTTAAATCTAAAATTTTGTCATTACTGATCATCGTAACCTGCCGGACATAAAGTGGTCTCTCAGACGTGTTTTGGTATATCGGCATCATCAGTAACTGTAACAAAATACTGATACGCCACGGGAAGACATATAAATGAATTATATAATTATTATGTATATTACAAACCATTGTAAGGATCAAATAGAAATTTTTTATTAACCGGCCTCCCAAAAGATAGCATTCTTGGTCATACCTTTTATAATCATTTATACTGCTAGCTCACGTTTACACCCCAATAGCATCATCACCACCTATGTGGACGATACCGCAATTTTATTCTCTAACTCGAATCCAATCCGAACTTCCAGACATCCAAGAACACGTTGAGCTTATCGACGACGAGCGCAAAAAGCGGAGGTCAAAACTAAAAAAAAAATATTTACTCAGTGAACGTTCACATTGAAAAAACAGTCTTGCCCTCCGCGTGAATCAACAACAAAGACATAGAGACTTCCATTCATGTCAAATACATAGAACTATATATAGTCTGCATACCCACGTGGAATTTCCAAACTAGACTTGAGAGACAACACGAGTACGAAGACATTTAGGACCGAAATCTGCTCTGACCGTCAACTATAAACTAACATTACAAAAGAATTTACAATGAGTACTTTGGA